CGCGCCTAATGATCCTTTCACTTCTACCCCACTAACCATGTCATCAACAATGGTTAGGACCAGATCTAAAATGGCTGTTCCTCTTGTTGCTTCTCCCACTTTCTGGACAATGAAGTTGTCTGCAAGGCCAGTGAGGAATCTGTTTGACCTTATGCTCTTGGCTTGTTGGACCACCACTGCCATCATCCTTGACCATTAGCTAACTGGCTGGGGATGATGAGAGTTGTAGTCTAACATCTTTAGGGGACTCAGGGTTGAAGAACATGGGGCTAGGCACTAGCCATTGGCCAATATGACCCAGGCAACATCCTGAAGTGATGAGCTGTAGTCGGCCATCTATACTGAGAGGACTGGAAGAAAATGCAGGGATTCACTCTATTCTGTTGCAACACCAGAAGCATTTGGTTCCATGAAATCTGTCCGTTATAAAAACTCTATTTCTCTCCTCCTTCCCATTTCATTTTCCTCTTGTGTTGCATCTTAGATTATATGCCTGAACGCAAGGATGTTTTATCATTGACATCCGTAAGCTGCCCTGGGGGCCTTTCCCCTCTTTTCCCACCTCAAGAAAAAATGCTCTAAATAAATATAAACATATCATGATATGACAAAGCATGAGTCATTCATATTTGTAGCTCATTCTGAATCAGAACAGGGGCTTTGGTTTAGACTAGTTTTAGCTCCTTCCTCAAGGCAACAGCTGACATCATCTTTCACACACATGTATGTATATCACTCAATATTAATCACTCGTTGCATTTCAGCTGAATGTGTGAACTCCTTCCATTGCAAAGCATTGTGTTCTAGTTGTTATGAGCTTGTCAAGTTAGAAGCAAGGTCTCTATGTGGTTATCTACTAGCCAATGAGTGGTGAATATGTTCCAACATATTCACCCTTAAACTACCAGAAATTGGAAGTGAACCATCAGGGCATATTCTGTTATTGAGGAGTTCAGTGATTACTGGGCAATGTGATAGAGAGTATTCCCAGCTAAGTGAACCACTGATCTGAATTAAGAAGGGGTGTGTGTGTGTGTCCCCAGCTAGGAAGCTAGGATGATGGGTTGTGGTTGTTTTTTAAAAAACCACCTCATTATTTTGTGTATTCTAGTGTTTTTCTTTCTCTCTCTCTAACCTAAAAGCTTCCCCAGCTCATTTATGCATTAAACAACAACCCTTTCATAACAAGCCTCACACCTCTGTCAAGAAGATTATTTAATCAGTCGTTATGTAAGCAAGAAGGACTGCTTTTATCCAGTCTGGAAAGAGTACAACAGTGAAAAAGAAAGGTATGCCCCCTCTGTCTTTTGAATGGGGTTGCTAGCTGCCTTCATGACTGATGCTGAAAATGCAACTATTTAAGACAGCCTCTTTAATATGAGCCAATAAACCTATTTAATAAAAATGCATGATTTTCCTTTTTTTTCAAATGCATGCTTTGCACTCTTGCCACTTATGTAGGGATGGGCGAATCTGTCTATTTCAGTTTCTCACAGTCTCTCACTTTCCCAGTCTTAAATTTTATTTATTTGTTTGCTTATTGCATTTATATTCCACTTTTCCTCCAAGAAGCTCAACAAATATTTTGCTTCTAGTTACCTTATATTCTGTCTTTTCTCCCCAGATGCTTTCTACATTTGTTTTTGTGACAAGTATTTGTGAGACGAGAAACTATTTTACATCAGTACATTTCCCCCTTGCACACACACCAAGCCTTTCCATACATTCATAGCATGTACTAAGAGTAGGTCCAATAAATCCAAAAAGGAAGAATGAATTAGAATGTCATCAATAGCTCTGTCTGGAATACTATAACTAGAGGGGTCATTTAATAAGTGAGATTAAACTCTATGCTCTTCAGAAGGTAAACCCTGTTGATATTGGGTTAGATAAAAAATCATCAAGAGGGGTGGGTGGGTGATATTTTATATTTGATTTAAGCACTCTAATGTAGTAGTGTTGTTTTGCAAACTAGCATTTTTCAGAACACAAGATCTTTCACAGATGGCAACTAGGCAACAGTTTTCAATTGCCGCCTTTTTTTTTATCAGTGAAGTCTGGGACGAAGTTATTTATCCAAATGATCGGGGGAGATTTTACAAAATCTGGAGTATATCCCAATCAATATTTTGTTGAGAGCTCCAATGGTGGCACACACATTGTTTTTGTAGGAACGAAGGAGTTTGTTTCAGGGTTGGACAAGCCCCTCACATGACGCTGTCCCTGGTTGTGCAGTAAATGGTGAATTGCTTGCTTGATCAGGAAAACAAGATGTGCAGTGAAGTGGAGGTTTGAAACATACAAGATCCCCACATTGATTCGGATCTTCAGAGTCATGTAGCTGGCGATGTGGATGGTGCTACAAAGTTTACTTCAAAAGGGTGGAGATTCAGTTAATACTGCATATATCGTGTTCTGATTTCTTTTAGTCATCTGAGAGTGGACATGCATGCACATGGGTTCCCATTCACAAATACAATTGGTTTTATTAATGGAAATCAACAAAGACAGTCAACAGCTGTTTACAGAAGTCTTTGAAAAGTGAAACCTTCTAAATATAATTTGGCCAGCAGCTACAAAATATGTTGAACAAATCCTAAGGTCAGATCATAAGTTGCATGTGTAATAATAATAGTGGGAGGAGGCATGCAAGTGTGTAAACAACTTGAAGCCAGGCTATCTAAGAGACTGCCTCACCCCATCCAGTGGCATTCAGTGAAATTTTTCATAGGGGAACAGTTAGGGCCAGAGGTGCCAGCTTGCGAAGGTGATGGACGTCCTGATGTTGCATGTGTGAGCATTGCACCTCCATCCCTAAGCTGGGCAGAAGCTTCCTAGGCTTTGGGGAGGAGGTGCCATGAGAACATTTAGGGGACAAGCCTAGTCCCCCTAGTCCACTGACTGCACACCACTGACTCCATATATCTATCTATCTATCTATCTATCTATCTATTATCTATCTATATGGGACCTCTGGGTATAGGGTGGTAAGAAAGCAAGCAATTATCCCTGCCGAACATCTGCACTCCTCAGATGGGGCACTGCAGAGAGTAGTCTATGACCCAGAGGTGTGCTTAGCTTATACTAGAAACCAGGCTTTTAGTGTTGCAGTTCAATCTCTCTAGAATACATTACCCTCCAAAATTAGACAAGCATCCCACTTCTGACACATCTATTGTTGAGATTCCTGCACTGCAGGGGGTTAGATCTCTTCCAATTCTATATTTCTATTATTCCAAGTTTAGACACCTACTGAAGACATGTTTGTTTAAGAAGACTTCTCCTGAGGTGTGACTCGGTCATTTATGGAATGATTATACATCTGTTGTTTAATGGTTTTTCGAGTTTGTGATTATTATTATTTATATCTTACATAAACCTTGATGGCTCTATGCTGTGAAGCAGTCTATAAATTTCTTTAATAATAAGAAGTCTGCCACAAGGCGATCGAAAAATGTAAACTCTGGACTGAAAAAGTAGCCCAGTGTGGCAGTGTGAACTCATCTATATAGTCAACATCTGCCATGCTGTAGCTCCATAATATATGAAATGTGGGGTGGTTTGCTCAAGCCTTGCAATGTATTTCTCTAGTCTGGGATAAAGAAAAATGGCTTATGTAAAGCAAGATCCTGAGCAAATGAAGGAGAAGTAACAGCACATAACAGAAGGGGTGGACTGACAGTGATGTTCTCCCAGTGGGGGGAGCCTTGCATTCTCTGGGACAGGGCAGAGTGAGCTGGTGGTGAGGTTGGGTGAGTTTCATGTTGGCAGTGATAAAGTCCCACAAGTAAGAGCTCTGAAGGGGGGTGGGGAGTATTGTGCTGAGCACAGAGATTTTGAGTACCAAAACTGGTCTGAACTAACAGTCCTTCCACACAAAAACCTGTTTCTGGCTGCCACAGGTTTTCTGCTTATCAGTATCTTAATTTAGCTCGGGGGGATGTCATTTTTTTGCTGATATTGTTAAACATATGAGAGTCAGAAATCCTTGACAATCTACTGCAAATTACTTGGAGAGCTATCAACAGATCCTGCCCACCTCTGCTCTGATGCCTCAAGATCTATGTATAATTGCCACCCTCCCTGTTGCACATTTCAGCAAAATTTAAAATGCCATGTTAGATCCAATGGGCTACATCCAATGTCATACTCAGAGTTGCCCTAGTCATTATTAATGGACACGACTAACTTAGACCCATTATTTTAAGAAGCTCTATTTTGAGTAGAACTTAATGGGATACAACCCAATGTCAATAGCTTATGCTGCTCTTTTAATCATGCATGAGCAAAGTATGCCAGCTCTATGTCTTCTGTTTATAATAAAAATGGTAATAATCTGCCATACCTTTGGGTTGCAACATTTTCTCTCCTCTGTAATATTTTAGACAAATCTAAGAGCCCAGCAATTTTCAGCAGTGCATTCTACTGTGCCAATAATATACCTGTGCTAAAGGAATTACTCTGGCTATTTGCTGCTGAGATGAGTTTAAGGTCCTGCTGCTTATCATTGTTGAATGGTTTAATATGTAAAGGTTCATCATTGTTCCACTCGATGTGTATGTCTTTAAGGGGCCAGAGAAAGGGCCAGAGCAAAATAACGAGACCCAGCTTTACAGCTGTGAAACATAGCAGGTGCTGCTGAGTTGTATTGATTAAGCTGTGTTGGTAATTGGGTGTAGTATATAAGGAGCAGCACCTAGCTCTCCCATTACCCTGGGGGATGGGTTGGTGGTTGGGTCATGTTTGTTTGTTAATGTATTTAGTGTAAAAGGAGTTTTTGTTTTTCTTATTAAAACCTTGTTTAAATTATTTTTGAGTCCCTTTTTAATGCATGGTCTCCCCAGCAAGCTCTCTGCAGCGCTACCATACTGCAAAAAGCCAACATCTTTGGTTATGGGCCCAGCTGCTGAGTGGATGACTGCATATTTTTGGACTCTGAGAAAGGTTTGAAAACTCCTTCTCCTGTTAGCGTAGTTCTGTGGGTCTGGAAGAGTTCCAGAATGGTTGACCGGGTTCCTGAAGCTGAGAAGGCTCTGGTCTTCCCACAGCTGACAGATGAGAACTATAGTTTATGGTCTTTTCGGGTGGAGGCGCTTTTGACCTCTAGAGAAGTATGGACTTATGTAACTGATGACCCTCCTGACCCTGTGACTAATGCTTGGTCGAAAGGAGATGCGAAAGCCAGGGCGATAATTAATTTGGCAGTCAGCGACCAGCAAGTAGTCTATATAAGGAATAAGAAAACTGCCAAAGAAATGTGGGACGGTCTTGCAGCAGTGCATGTTAGAAAAGAGTCAGCGTCTGCATTGACGTTTTTCAAGCAGTTGTTCCAGACGAAGTTGCAGCCTGGTGGTGATTTGGCAGCACACTTGAGACGTCTGGAGGCAATACGCGGCGAATTAATTCGAAGGGACATGGAGATACCTGATATTCAGTATGTTTTCATCATCCTTTGTTCCCTTAATGAGGACTTTGATGGTATAGCTAGCCAGATATCTGCCGTTCCACCAGCACAATTAACTGTGGAAGGGGTAACGGCAAGATTAATGGGCGAGTTGGACAGAAGGGAGGCTTGTGCCATAAGCACTCCTATTTCCAGAAAGAATGAGGAACGCCATATGCAAACTTGTGGTGATACAACTGCATTTAAAGCTGCAAAGCGTTGTTTGTTCTGGAATAAGCAAGGACATTTTGCAAAGGACTGCAGATCCAAAAGAAAGCAAAGTACTCCCAAGTCTGTTTCTGTTCGTCAGTCACGGTCGTCAGCTCAGCAGCCGGCATCGTACCGTAAAGACAGAAACGAGCCGCGAGCTTTTCACGCTAGCACAAGAGATCGTAAAAGAATTAAAGGTGCCAAGTGGAATTCTTTTCTTGTGGACTCAGGAGCATCTCAGCACGTTTGCAACGATCGAAGCTTGTTTATTTCTTTCGAAGAGGAAATTGGTAATGTACATTTAGCCAATTCACAAGTCTTGCAGTCGCTTGGCAGGGTACTGTTAAACTTGACTCTTTAAACATTACTATAGCGAACTGCATTTACTGCCCATCAGTGGACAATTTATTGTCAGTAAGGTGTTTTGCTCGTCAAGGCATAACTGTGCGTTTCTTAAAGTCAATGTGTGAGTTTTTCGAGGGGAACAAACCTCTATTGTATGCCCGGGAATCTGATGGTTTATATAGACTGTATTTTCGCACCTACTCCCAATCGCCTATAAATTGCAGAGCAGCACAGTCAAGCCAGGGGTTGAGGAATGTAAGGCCACATTCTGGGTGTGTCCATGAGGCGCACAGAATTCTGGGACATCTGAATTTTGCTGATGTAATTAAGACCAAGAATATTGTTAATGGCCTCAACTTAAAACCATGTAAATTCTTTATGCAATGTCTATCCTGTTGCAAGAATAAGATTAAGGTTGCACGCAAGGGTAGGTGCTCAGATAGATAGGAAAGTAACTGAGCCATTTGAGCGTGTACATTGTGATTTAGTTGGGCCACTCCCACCATCCTTAGGAGGTTCTAAGTACTGGCTTACCCTGATAGACCAGTATAGTAGATATTGTTGGACTTATGCAATAGCTGAGAAGTCCCAAGCATTTGAGAAGTACAAAGTTTTTTGCAACTGGGTAAAAACACATTTTAACAAACCTATTAAGAACCTTTTTTCTGATCGGGGCGGGGAATTTGTTTCTGAGGATTTTGAGAAATTCCTGGAAGTGCAGGGAACTACTCATGAGTTATCTTGCCCCCGAAGTCCCTGGCAAAATGGGCTTGTTGAAGTTGTGCAGCGTGACCTGCAGGCAGGGGTTAAAACTTATCTGCATGATGCTAATCTGCCCAAAGACTTTTGGGCTGAAGCGCTCAATGCCTTTTGTTATGTTAGAAATCGCAGTTATCATTCTGGTTTAGATGTCACCCCTATGAGAAGCTGTTTAAAAACGCCCTAATCTGAAATACCTACGCATTTGGGGTTCAGATGTAATAATGCATTATCCCACTAAGCAGAAATTGGGTGAACGTAGTGTCCAGGGAAAATTAATGGGCTACCAGCAGGGGTCGTAAAGAATTTACATACCAGCAACTGGCAAATTTCATATTACCAGAAGCATGATACAAACTGTAAATTGGAATGGTGTTGCTGTTTTCCAAGATAGTAATGGTATAGATAATACTGAGGAAGAAGAGGTAGAAGAAGCAGCAGCAGCAGCAGCAGGAAATGGTGCTTCTGAATTAATGGAAGAAGACAAAAAGCCTGTTGAATCTGATAATTTCTTTGATGATTTAAAGTCACAGGCACCCGAGGGGAGGTTAGATTCTCTTGAGTTTTCTGACCGTGAGCTTAGCCAACAGGCATCTCTTCAGTCTGACAATGATGATTTACAACCTGAAACTAGTAGTTTACATAGTCCCATTAAGTCTGAGGAGTCTGACTCTCCTTCCGGACTAAGACGTTCAGATAGAAAGAGACAGAAGCCACAACGTTTTGCAGATGAACATTTTAATACTGTGTATGCCAATAAGGCAGTTTTTGAGCCAAAAAGCTACAATGATGTTCAGAATTTACCTAAGCACCAAGCTGTAAATTGGTATAAAGCTATGAACTCTGAAATAGCTTCTTAAAAGAGCATAACACTTGGTCTCTTGTACCACAAACCCCAGATATGAGACTTATTGATTCAAAATGGGTTTATAGAGTTAAAATGAATGACAAAAATGAAGTTGTAAGGTACAAGGCAAGATTAGTTGCTAGGGGTTTTCAACAAATTCCAGGCGAAGATTATGATTTGTGTTATTCACCAAGTGTAAAATATGAAACAGTTAAGCTTTTGTTAAAAGATGCATCACAACGTGGACATTCTGTTTATCACCTAGATATAAAAACTGCATATTTGTTTGCAGATTTAAAAGAACAAATTTTTATGCGTGTCCCTGAAGGCATAGACGCCGCTGAAGGTTTGGTATGCAAATTAAATAAATCCCTTTATGGTCTGCACCAAAGTGGAAGGAATTGGCATCAAACTTTAGCAAAAGAATTGCTGGATATTGGTTTTTCACAGGGAAAGGCAGACAATTGTGTGTTTATAAAGGAAAGGGCAAACTCTGTAGCAAAAATATGTGTGTATGTAGATGACGTGTTAATTTCTACAAAAACTAAACAGGAATATGAACAGGTAGTAACAGTTACAGAAGAAATTTGATGTGGTGGAATTAGGCATAGCTAAAAATTACTTATCCATGCAAATTGAGAAAGGCAAAAATGGATCTCTTCTGGTTCATCAAACTGCAAAAATTGATCTTGTTGGAATGCTACGTTTAGAAAATGCAAATAGGAAGGAAACGCCCATGGTGTGTGGTTTCACTTTTACAGGTGAAGATAAGCCATTTCCTAACAAAACTTTGTATCGTTCTGCTATAGGCAAGCTAAATTTCATTCAAAGAATCTCAAGACCAGATATAACTTATGCCTTTCACTTTCTGGCAAAATTTGTGGAAAAGCCCACTACACAATGTTTCTCTGCTCTTAAGAGAGTGGTAATGTACCTTAAACATACCAAACATTATAGGCTGCAGTTTACAACATGTATTGACAAAGGTTTTGAAATTTTCTGTGATGCATCTCATGCAGTGGAACAAAATAATTGCAGGGGTGTGTCTGGTATGGTGTTTTGTTATAATGGTTGTCCATTTGAATGGAAGTCCCAGACACAAACCATTGTTTGTCTCTCCACAACAGAGAGTGAATTATGTGCATGTGTTCAGGCCACTCGTGATGTGGAATGGTATCTGCAAGTATTCGCAGACCTACAGATGCAAGTAACACTACCAGTAAAAGTTTACCTTGATTCCCAGAGTGGACTCGCTATCCTATGTTCAGAAACCAATACGCAGCGCACTAAAGTCTTAAGATTACGTTTACAGTTTGTAAAGAAACTAATTGCTGATGAAATGGTTGTATTTAAATATGTTCCAGGTGACAATCAAATTGCAGACATTTTTACTAAAGCACTTCCAAAAGGTATACATGAAAAACATGTACAAAGTATGCTTTATGTTTTTGTTCCACAATGATGAACCGCAGGGGAAATGTTGAATGGTTTAATATGTAAAGGTTCATCATTGTTCCACTCGATGTGTATGTCTTTAAGGGGCCAGAGAAAGGGCCAGAGCAAAATAACGAGACCCAGCTTTACAGCTGTGAAACATAGCAGGTGCTGCTGAGTTGTATTGATTAAGCTGTGTTGGTAATTGGGTGTAGTATATAAGGAGCAGCACCTAGCTCTCCCATTACCCTGGGGGATGGGTTGGTGGTTGGGTCATGTTTGTTTGTTAATGTATTTAGTGTAAAAGGAGTTTTTGTTTTTCTTATTAAAACCTTGTTTAAATTATTTTTGAGTCCCTTTTTAATGCATGGTCTCCCCAGCAAGCTCTCTGCAGCGCTACCATACTGCAAAAAGCCAACAATCATAAGGTTAACTGAGATGTTGCCTCCTTCTGCACAACCCAGCCCATGCACTGAAATTATTGGATGAGGCCCTTTTAGTGAACCATGCCTGGCATTTGCTTGGTGGCAACTTGAGGAAGGGTCTCCTTCTCAGTGGCCTCCATGCTATGGAATGATCTGTGGTAATTCACTGCAACTGAGTTCCATCACTTGGTCAAAACATACTTATTTATGGGTGAATTCCCAAGTGCTGAGTTTTAGTACCTGCTCTATTGGAAACTCGTATTTGTGCTTTCTGTATCTAAGCGTTTCATTGTGTATTGATCTGAGTATGTAAATCCGCCTTAGTGGGAGGTCCATCTAGAAATGTTTTACTAATTAAAATGTATAACAGCCCATCTAAAAAGGAAGGTGGTATTTAAACATCATTTCAACAAGGGCACCTTTATATAGAAACATGCAAGTTTTTATATTCCTTTCCGGGGGGGGGGGGGGGCAGACCAAGAATCCATGGTTTTGCTGCACAATTCATTGTGTACAACCTGTTCTCTTTGTGCTGTTCTTTTTCTTATAGACCTATAGTGTTTTATTTAAAAACAGCCAGTTGATGAGAAAGGGGTCGTTAGCTTGGAACACAGTATTGTACATAGATTTTCAAGGCTTTGTGTCTTTTACCTTACCTTTATCCAGCTGAAAAAGAAGATCTGCCCGCAGCACAGAGGCGTTCTCTGCACTAAGTGAGGGAGGCGATTATTCTCTTCCCCACCACCTCCAACATCATTCAAAGGGCCCTATCAATGCAGGCTTGTCATAACAATTTGTCACTCATTTTTTGTTTCCATATATCAGCGAAGGCTCCAGGCCACTGCTATAGGCTATGTGCTACAGCCTGGAAAATAAAAACCCTCTCGCATGTAATAAATTGAGAGTACCATCACAAAAGAGCCAGCTAATGGCCAGGACTGTTTCTATAAGCTCTGTCAGATAACCTCACAAACGGGTAGCCTGGCTTCAAAAACTGGGGCGGGGGAGGGAGACAGAAAAATTAAGAGCTAAAAAATATAGGCATGCAGCAACTGGTGCTTAGGTAATTATTGTGCTTCATAAAACCACCATGCCCACCACCAAAATGTTTACTGGAAGGAAGAGCTATGGATTGTAATCATTTGCCAAGAAGTCTCAAAATGCCAATGATGATATACTAACAGGACATCTTCCAACTCAATTGTCTTCATTCACCTCCAGATACAATAAACTGCTCCTGGCAGAAAGGAAGAATAAGCAAATGTGAATACTGAGGGCCCAGTAGAAGTAATGCTCTCAGGATAGATTAACATGTTCGTACCCATCGTGAGGTTTTCTGAAGATTTTGTCTCATGGCGGCTTCTTTCATTAAATTGTTTATTATCATGGTCAGGTCGACTTCAGGGAGAGGGAAGTCTGCCCATCACGATGAACCATGTAGATGGATGGATGTTGGGTTTTCTGAATCCACCTTATGCTCTCAAAAATGAGAAGAGCTTAGGTGCTCATCCACTGCCATATTACTCACCTCTTTTCCTTGCTCCAGGTTTGTTTGTCAAGGCCTCTTCCCCATCTCTTTCTCAATCCCACCTACTACAGACCGCAAGTAAGTGCCATCTTTAGTACAGTAGCTAGCAGCACATTGCTGGCACTAAATTTGTTCATTTAAAGGATTTACCATATTTTCCCGCGTATAAGACTCCAAATTAAGAAAACACCCCTCAGCACTACCTGTGTATAAGACGAGCCCCAATTTTAAACCTATTTTTTTGGTTAAAAAAACCTAGTCTTATACATGGAAAAATACGTACAATATGTACAAGCCACAGAGCAATTTACAACAAAATTAGACATTTTAAAAATCCATAAAATCACACAACCTTCTCAAATACATAACAAAGCAACACACAACAATTTACTAATAGCAGCAACAAATGATTCAATTTATCCAACCATGTCTTTCCTCCTCCAAACGCCTGACGATGTAAAACAGAAACATTGTTACAGATCTCTTTTCAGAAACAGAGGAAAGGAAGGATTGTTGTGATTGCTGTTGTGTGTTGTTATTATTATTATTACTGTCCATCGTTGCTTCCCTTAATTTTCCTCTCTCTTTGGGGCATAAGCCTCTTAAAGCTGCTTCCATGGAAACCTTTCAAATTAAAGGGGTGGCTGTTTCATTCACTGCATTGCTTCTTGGTGGTTGGCAAAGAAATAAGTTTGATAGTGCAACAGTCACAGGAGCACACAAGCACTGTGAGCCATCCAGAGTGCATTACTCACCCACCCCGTTCATTTTCACTTGTACAAAAAAAAAATTGCTTGCCGGGAGATCCATTAGCAATAACAAAAGCAAATCTAAAGCAATAGTTAAAAGCAAGGTGGGAAGTGGGGAATGTAACTTGTTTTATCTTATCTCCTTTCAATCCCAATGCTTCAGGGCATAAGCTGATTGCCAGCTGAGGCAGTGAAAAAAAAAATTCCCCATTGTATAGTGCTACATAATTAGATGAATTGTGGGGGCTGTAGGATTTGTCTGAAATAGCCAGCATCAGCCACTGTCACAGACAGGAGAGGATACTGGATTAGATGCATCATTAGTCTGGCCTGGCTGTGTACTCCATGGCAGAGATTCTGAATAACAAGGTACCACTGGGCATGTCTGTAACGTCATGTAATTAACAGGGCTCTGTCTGTCAAGCTGGCTTTCCCCTAGCCAACAAAATAAGCAAATATATACATAAACTGGATGGTTTTGTTTTGGCTGCATTTTGAAGCAAAAAATTACACATCTGTCTTGCTGCTAAAAAAAGGAATAGCATTGCATATGAAACAACAACAATAACAACAACAACCCGGCACTTTACAGTGGTACCTCGGGTTAAGTACTTACGTAATTCGTTCCGGAAGTCTGTACTTAACCTGAAACTGTTCTTAACCTGAAGCACCACTTTAGCTAATGGGGCCTCCTGCTGCTGCTGCCGTGCCACCATCATGTGATTTCTGTTCTCATCCTGAAGCAAAGTTCTTAACCTGAAGCACTATTTCTGGGTTAGCAGAGTCTGTAACCTGAAGCGTATGTAACCCGAGGTACCACTGTACATTTTTATCATTGATGTTGGTTGGATTTTTTGCTGGTACAAAACACAGTGCAGAGGGAGTGTGGTTTCTCAACATTTAGTTTGTTTCAATTGTCCCAACAAGAAGCTGCTTAGACTAAAATCTCATTCTTCTGCTCCCGTGTTCTGGTCAACACATGATGCCAGGTTCTAACCTCAAGTAAAATCATTTCCCCCTCTTGACTTCTGTGAGATGTTAGACATGCTTTACACTGCCTGGTCACATATCGTGCCCCAGCATGACAGCTTGTTCTTTTGATTCTCTGGTATAGAACAAGTTCTGGTCCATTTTGTGTTGCAACACTCAAACTGGGTTTAACTTGGTGGCTATTGGAGATATTTACAGATAGATAGAAGCAGCCAGCAAGATTATACTCTCTGCTGAGCAGCTGGTGAGCAGAGGGTTCAGTATAGTATCGCTGGGTGCTCCTTTGCTAGCCCATTCCCTACCAGGAACATGCTGGTAAACCAAATCTCTTCCCCTCCACCTCCATTAGTCAACTTGGGCAGGTGAGCAGGACCTCCCACCTATCAGTTACCTGGTATCATCATGATGTCATATGATTGACAGGTGAGTGACCTCACTTGCCTGTCAAAGTTGGCTCATGGAGTGGGGGGAGGTAAACACTTGACTTTCCTGACCACAAAAGTTCTCCACGTCTGGCCTGTAATATTACAAAATTAAAACCAGGAGATGTAGTGCTAAACCAAAGCACCCAGTCTGTAAATTGAAAGACATTATTTTGCAATGAAATGTGTTTTTTCTCCCCTAAATAGTTTTTTGGAGAACATTTGACAACTGGAATGACACCAAGGTTGCATTCAAACATCAGTTTATCCATTTTCCCGATGTTTCCCATGCTGTTCAATGAGGACATGTGAAAGTTGAAAATGCGCAATGTAGTCTGGCTGCTTTGATCAGGTGCACATGCTCCCTGTTCCACTTTTGTAAGAACTCTGTCTTTTAAAATGGCAACACCTACACTTCGGAACTCCCTCCTTATGGATACCAGGCAGGTGTCTTCGCTGTACTCTTTTCAGACCCGCTGAAAACATTTTTGTTTAGACAGATGTTTAGAAAATTTTAATCTGTGGCAGTTTTAATCTGAAATCTTAGGTGCAGTACTGCGCCCAGAACTCAGAAACTGCTCACATTAATGAAATTCCCTGTCATAAAACACGCCCAGAACAATGGGAGTTTAAAATGCTGCATCAGGATGAGGCAGTTGCTTCCACATTCCTAAATTGCTCAGAAGTCTGAAATGCTAGAAGAGGGAAGCTTATGTATCTCTGAGCTCAAAGGTTTATATGTCCCTGGACCCCAGAATAAAAACTGGGATACACCATAGCATGCACCTGCACAACTGCAACAATAATGGTTGTTCAAAGTTATCATACTTCCAAAATACTCACAAATGCATTATGACATTGCATAGTCTACACACACACACACACACACACACACACAGAGAGAGAGAGAGAGA